GTCATACTCAAAATTTTGTTATTGCAATTTTCCTTCTTTAAATTATACGTCGTTCCAAAACCACGTTTAACATATACATCGCATTAATTTATGTACCATATCCAAAGCAGTAAAAATTGTCTGTTCGAAATAGTACTGTACTTTATAAAAAAACATATTCATTACGTAAGTTTTGAACTTTAATGTGGAATGGAAAAAAATACTAATTGTTGCTGGAAGGACAACGAAGCTCGTTAATAAAGCCGTTTCCTTTAAAATTTTTAAAATTGAATTGGAAACATCGGAGAGACAAGTTTTCATTACATATTTCAGTCGATTAATTACTTCCATAGCCCGTATATATGTATGTCTATTACAGTTACATATTTCTTTGATGTAGAGAGCTTATTTATAAAAAAAAAAAAAAAAAAAAGATATAGTTAAGTAAGAGAGCAAATTCGAATTTTGTCAGTAAGACCATCCAAGAATATATTATTGGTCGTCCACAGAACGGTCACTTTGCACGATTACAAGAGGATCGTACGCTTAGCCGCTTAATGATTTACGGGCCGATCTTTAGATCTTCGGATCGGCTCGTAAATTACGTTCGCCACGAGCATCATGTATAATACATTGGCTGCCCATCAGCAAATGGTGTATGGGACTTGAAGCGAGCCAAGACTTTTCTTGTGTAACTATTACGGAATGACATATTGGAAATTGGTCTTCTTCGGAAAAAGTCACACGATATGCGTTAAAAAATCTTTTGACTACTGTTAATTTACCACGCATAAAGTATCGGGTACTATAAACGTTTTCCACGATTACGACGTTTCAATTGAAAATACATTTGAAAATCATTCTTGGCATGGGATTAGCATTTCACGGGGCAATCATATTTTGATATTGAACCATAAAGTCACCATAAGAACGTCAAAATAAAATTCATTTATATTGCCTCACTCGTTCAACACAATATTCAATTTTCACGTAAACGAACAGCCACGACATCTCAACAAAGAAGTAGTGTCAGCGAAATATATTTTTATAGATATGTTTTATGAAACTTTCTAAAGCCAATATGGACAAAATATATAAGACTTTTAGATTAAAATTACGCAAGCAAGCGAAGCAACGGGGGTGGGGGAATACATTTTATAACGAACAATAAATAAGCTCTTATCAAATATAATCAAGAAAAGCCATACGCATAGAAGGCTGACGTGAATTTTTCTTTTGGCTATGATATAAATGTGCCGCGTGGAATCGCGATCTTATGATTAAATTTGCCAAATTGCACTGCACCGAAGCAGCAGCCGACACGCGGCATTAGAAGCAATTTTGACGTGGCAAATAGCGTAAGATACGACCAATGGCTTTTACAAAATCAGCCAGCATTACGATTAGAACTTTCAATTACAGCGGTTTCTAAGAAGAATACACATCACGCCACGTACACAGAATCATTCTTTCTCGGTCAAGTGAGCAGGCGCGACAACGTTTGTCGTTGCCGAAAGTTCTTTCGCCGAAGAATGTACTCGGTACGCCGTGTGAACGATACCTTAAACAACGCCTGCGAGCGCAAAAGTCCCCCGAGAGTGAGAAAAACTGACCGGGTCGCTTTTTGCCGCCTCTCCCGCACTCAAACCGCCGAAACTCTGTCCTCCGCCGGGGCAGTAACGGACGACTCTTGTGCCCGCGCGGGTATTTTCCATATCCGTGCTTCGAAATTTCCGGTTATTTGCCGAGGAGTTGGGCCGTTTCTATTTTCTCAAGCGTGCAAATCAATATTGGGCAAGGACTGAAAAAAACGCGAAACTAAGCCCCGTGCGGCTTAACATTTGGCCTCTGTTTCTGTTTTTGTTTGGCCCGGACATTTTACAATTCTATAGCATGTATACGAATTAATTCGCTTCCTCCGGGTCAACCTTTCTCGATTATTGAACATTGAACATTCGAGGGAAGAGGACGGACAATGCTATTCTAATCTGCTCCATACATTTCCAATCATCTCTCGGCTGGTGAATGTCATTTCGAAAAATGTTAACCTTAAGTTAATAATAAAATCGTTACGTAATAATTCTATTATCGATCTCCTTGGATGTTTTGAATTGCAAATCGGCCAAGTGAAATTCAAGTGAACAAAACAAGCGATAATGGTTGTAGGGGTGGATTGGCGGAGGTGGGTGGCGGGCTGATCGTGAGCGAGTGGACGAGTTGTGGGGGGAGGTGGAAGGAGGGGGGTGAGACGAGGGTGAGACAAAGTCCGGCGAATAAGCCGCACGAAGAAGACTCGGCCTCCGCCAAGTGCAAGCCGTACAGAACTTCTTTATGTTACTTTTAGATGTATGTGGCTTTGCGCAGTCGTACAGCACAATCACCTGTCTTGTTCTATTGCCAATGTATGGCCTCTTCCGCTCGAGTTTGTCACTCAAAATTCAGGGCCGTTGCCGACGTCCGCGAAATCAACTGTCCCGTCGCAATCAAGCACAGCTTGAGTCCACTTGCAATGAACTACGGCTATCGTCTTCTACCACGCGTCGAGTGAGATTTTATAAGCTCCGGTGTATTTTGATTGGGAATGCAACGGTTCGTTGCAACTTCGTTGTCACGAAACACTTACAAATTAAAATATGAAACGCAAGGAGTGCAACTTTATCATAATACAAATATTTTATTTTAAATCGTTTCACTCCATGAAATTTATCCTTCGTTATTTATTTAACTTAGCATTGGCTATGATAAGCTAACAAATTACTGCAACGCGTGCTCATATCATATACTCGTGGTAATAGTTTTATATTAATACGTAGGTCTATGAAACATCAATAAATAATAAAACAGTTCCGATTAAAGTGAACTACCATTATACGCTTGAGATACGCAATGGAAAATAACGCGCACGAAAATTTTCAACGAAACTTTGAAAATATTATGAAATAAGCAACATAGCTCTGATGGAAAATTTTAAATCAATTTGCAAATATCTAGGTAAAAACTATATATTTCTGCATTGATAATAAGTACGTTGTCTTACTAATTTAGTGCAATCTTCTCTGCTATGCAATTTATAAAATGTAAAAGATGGATCATTTGGCATATTCGAAAGCTTGATAAATGGTGAAATATGTTTTAAAAAATCAAATGCAAATATTTCCAAGCATTTTTTTTTTTAAACAACGAATTCCAATAATGGTAAATACTATTTGAACAATTGTCAAATTCGATGAGTCGCGATAGCTGAATTTTAAACGTTAAATACGAAAAGAAAAAAAGAGAGAGAAGAAAATTATAATGTATTATTTAACAGCTAATTTGAAAGTCAGCTTACACTTTCATTCAAATCTTTAAATTCTCAGTACAATGAATTTGAAACTGTTCGACGTTTTATTTTTTTTTTATTTTTTTAAAATTATATATCGCGTATTTATGTTCTAGCATTTTCAGCAATAAAAATACAAAAAAGAGTTAATTATAAGATAAATAGAATGACACTTTTGTTCATCCGGTTAATAAATAAATGAGGAAGCAAGTAAAGCAATTAATAAATAAAATACTTGGATACAATAAGTACAATCGACCCTCATATACGTTGTACTAACTTGAATAGCAGATAGATGAACTTTTTCTTTATCTATTGGCAATTGGACGATAATTGTATTCTAAAAGTAGCATTAGAAATGAGATTCAAAGACTTTACCTTAATTAGAGAATTAAAAATAGCATAATAATGATATATGCCCTGTCGTTGGTCTATTTTTCCTCTATTGTTTAGATATGTGAATAACAATGATAGTGGCTACTATGTTTTATAAAATGTTTTTTAATTTTGAATGTCCATCAAACTATAAAAGACAATTTTATCAAATATGACAAATATTTCATATAATACTGCTTTGCGCCGCTCCATTCTGTCATTCCACATATTATAATAGGAAGAACGATTTTTTTTTAATAACTTTCATTAGATGAATCATAAAGTTTGATATGTAAAGGATTAATCACTTTTCTTATAATTAATTTTGCTCTTTCAAAACGTTTTGTAAATTTTCTTCCACTTTTGTAGCAGAGAACATACACAGAGAACATAATATTTATACGCGACTGTTTAACATTTAAAAATTGTTAATTATTCAAATATTTATGTATAATAAGAGGACAGACAAACTTAACGACTTTCAATGCAGTAACATAACGGATTCTTTAATTGTGCATCAAAAGCCTATTTCCGAATGCAATAATGCAATAATAAAGTGCTACAGAAGAATTTCGTGGTTCTGAACTTTTGCTTCCTTCTGCACTCTTTAAAATTGATAATTTGTGATGCTCAAATATTACACTGATGATACCTGTCATATTTTTATATCTTTTATGATTAATCGGCAGACTTGGCATGCAATTCAAGAGATAATTGTTTCTCATTATACGCAATACCCATGCGATATCACTATAATGCTAATTTATAACATACGAACTTTCTAACAGTAAACGACTACTTTTCAGATAATATATTTTGACACTTCATTATGGTCAAATTCAATACTTACTCTCGGATAATATTTTTACAAAATGATTGACGTTTCTACTATTTCATGAATTAAAAAAAAAAAAAAAAAAATTAAAAAAATTGCCAAGTTCTTGTAATCGATTAATTGTAATATGAAAATCATAAAAACATCATTTTGTGATAACAAGTTCATTATAGAAGCGTTGCTATACCGACTAAAAATCAATGTAGATCATTCCAGCTCGTATAGAACATAACTTTTTCTCAATAATATAAAAAGGGCATAACATTAAAAGAAATATCTTTTAAAGTAAAAACCATAAAAACTAGACGCTGTTTGAAAGTATAGAAATTTTTATTTATATTAATAATTTAAACTACTTTCAAAATACACGTTATAGTATACTAGTTTAATGAGCTTATGAAATTAAGGAGTTTTTAATAACTTACAAAGCAGATACAAAATAAATAATTGTAATATATGGTAAAAATTACTAAATGATGCCAAACTAACCTGATGATTTTTCGTTTATCATTTGGGTGAAGTCTGTCGGCCATTTCAGGATCGACTTGTATCAATTTTTTGTACAAATCCTTAAGATTATCCTTCTCTATACGTCGAATTTTCGGAAGACTGGAACCTTCATCCTTATCAGACTCGTTATTTGATATATTTGGATCATCAATAAGTATTTTCCATATGAGTGACTCAATATAATAATTGGTACCACCAACGATTATCGGCGATTTTCCATTTTCTATAAGATTGTCGATCTATCTTTGTTAAGGAAAGTAATAAAATTCTGATTTCTTATGAAAATTTCAATTTTTTACATTTGAAGTTTCGCATAGAAAAATCATTTAATGCCACATACTGACAAACGATTCATTGCAACTTGAAAACTATAATTTTATATAGTATTTTAATTATTTTCATAAAGTATTCGATACACTCTTCCGGCATTAGATAAATTTTACATTTTAAACGGTCCAATATTTCATCCCTGTCGATTTTGTTAAGATCATTTTCTCTTATTATATTTAAGAATAATGAAAGGGATAATTAAGAGAAAAAATTCTATCGAATCTCTTGAAAGAACACAAATATCTATTGAATGTCTATACTCTTACTTAATGCAATCTTCACCTTAAGACTATCTGATTTGAAGAATTTAATATTCCTCGATATACGATTAAACAAAGAGTGGATTTGTTATTTATAATTATATTACTGGGTTTGCCAGGCAAAAAATAAGGTAAGAATTAATCTTGGAGAGCGTTATATTTATTTATAAATATAATAAATTATCTGCTATGGTAACTGGTGCCTTTAAAATCAAGTAACACTTTTACAAAATTATTTTTTTTGACAAGATTAGAATTACAATTAATATTGAATTAAATAGGAAGTACTACATTTTTTTTCAACACTTCACTTGTTTGTAGTAGTATTATTAAAAGTTACTTTCTTGTTGTCTCGAAGACTTTATCTACTTGCATTATTATTCCACTATAATAATTTGAAGAATATTCAAAATATTTTGTTTATTAACAATGCGCACTACGTGTATGTAAAGAAAGTATTTATAAACAAATTTTCTCATTATTATATTTATAAATTTAATTTCTTTTTCTTTTTTTTCTTTAAATATCACGCAAAAAATACTAAATTAAATAACTACGATATTCGAGTGACAGTTTTTAAATTGTAATATCCAATTCTATTGCTTATATTAGAATATAGACATTAGCATAGCTGAAGGGGGGGACGTGCAGTACACTTTGAAATAGTAAATTAAATAACAAATTAAATATATATATATATATATATATACTCGAGACTTTCGTCACGCGAGTCTCAAAGTTAAAAAATAAATTACAGTGGTTTGGTGAAAGGATACGATAGGCACGGCTCTGTTCTTGAATTCGGAGACCTTGAATTCATAGAGGGGATCGATTATATCAATCATGTGGTGTTTGGCCATAGCCTGCTCCTCCTTCGACACCTTCGCCGTGATGATGTCGAGGCCCTTGTAGACCTAGAAGCAAAATATGTAATGATCTCCAGCGGAAGTTGTATCAGCATCGAAGTGGGATATCTTTGAGCGTTCGCAAAGTCCTATCGCGAATTGCAATTTTGGCGTGGCGGTAACGACGACCGCGGTGGCTGCTGCTGTATCTCGGATCACGCACGCATGCGCAATCCAAGGAGCTCGTATCGCAGTTATCTAGATGACCGGGATAATAGTTCGAGTGGCGTATTTAGGAATCGACTCTTTAAACGTCTTGATAAGAGTTCAGGCGCGTGATCAATCTCTTGGAATAAAATTCCATTCTTTAGAGCAAATTTTAACAGTAAATAAGATCGAGATTCACTTGAAATACGTAATATTCCACTTTACGGCCGAGGTTTTTATCAATTTACGATGGTAAAGAGTGCCGGAGATAATCTTATCGTGATATAAATGCATTCCTCTGCTTTCGAATTTAGATTTTCCGCGTGAAAATCTAGGCACGCTAAGAACATGTGTATAAGCTCTTTCTCAAGATGTTTGCCTTAGGCATATTTACTTGATATTTCATTCGTATGAAAAATTATATAAATTTCCATGCTATTCTATTATAGAACGAACTCTTAATTTTCTTTACTTTAATATTCACTCGATTATATATAAATATCTTTAGAAGTATGATATTACGAATCAAAATTTTTTTATAGATTTATAGATAATTGTACTTTTAAAAGACGATTTACTACGTGGCTTTTGAAAGAATTTTTTATATTTCATCATTTTTAATATATCAAATATAATAATATAATACTTTGAATGTTATTCCAAAAAATGTGATCGTGCATTCAAACGATAAAAAAATTGTAATTCAAAGCTCGAAATCAAAATTATCGAAATATCCTTAGCTATTTTTCAATAGACATATTTGATTAATAATTTGTTAATAGTCGCTAAGAATATTATCAATATCTACCCTTCCATCTGTAAGTTAATTTTTATGTGTAAGTACATAATCGCGCGAGCACAATAGAAGATCGTTGGAGGGTTCGCATTCACCCAGCATGTCAGCGGATGTTTTCACTTTGACGTCCACTTAGCAATAAGAATCTTGATTATTCTAAGTCATATAAAAACAAAAAAAAACAAAAAACAAAAAAAAAAACAAAAAAACTATAGTCAACACATATAATCCAAAATAATATTCATTCTACGTAGATATATGTACAGAGAATTTTACAAAAAGTCGTTGCTTTCATCAAAATATTTCCTATTTCAATCTTCGACGTCTGTATTTTGATTAAATTTCTCATGTTTACATTGTTGTTTTCCAAGCCCAAAAGAAGCTGCCTTAAGCTTAAGGAACATCTAAATTTCAGGCACATAAGACATTGCGAAATTGTATATGTACAATAATACATTAACAGAAGTATCTTAGATTAAGTAATAAAGAAGATGGTTGATTAAATTTGATATATATGATATATCCGCCGAGTATTTTTAAGGTTTTTAATGTAATGCGACATCGCCAAATATCCACGAATTTAACTACCAAAATGCATGCTATGGTAAGCAAATTAATAATAACCATAGATTTATGATTTAAGAAAAGGATCGTTTGCATTCAAATTTCATAAAAAAAACCAATCTCTCTTACGCAAGTTCTACTCGCTAAAAGCTTAATTCGACAATTAATAGTAACAAACAAAGCACATTGAAAAATTGACATGAGAATAATCGACACATCAATAATTTATGGATTTGATGTTGTATTGTGTAGGAAAAGAGAGTCAGTCGTATTTAGAAAAATCGCTCGTTCGCTCGCTCGTTACATCCGCATTTACCAACCTGTGCATCGCCTAGATTTTTACCCTCTTTCCCGTTGTATTTCCAGTCAATGTATTGCCATCTAGACATCCTCTCGAGTACTTTCACTTGACGAGCGATGCTTCACAAACTCGCAAGTGACAATAGCAAGCAAGTAAATAGCCATTCACCCGCTTCATCCCAAAGCACTCTCGCGCTTTGGATGAATCGCTAGAGACAGCTAATTGCCGTTTGCTCGAGACGTACACTGTCATTATGCGCTGTTGCACTGTGATGAAAGTTTAGTACATCGTGGATTTATAAGCCCATAATTCCAATGAGAATGTAACACTGATTTCGAAAACTGAAAAGTTCCTATCCATCGCTCATCCCGACAGCATATTCTGAATTTTTAAATTTCTAAATTCGAGTTAAATAAATATTAAGAAGATACTTAATCTTTAGAATGTTCCTGGAAGTATGAATTAGAATAGATAATATAAAAGGAAGCTTGTCCAAATTTACCAAACTTTAGCTCGGTCATATTTAGATAATTTATTGCCAGTATCCTGAGATATTTGACAAAACTAACGCAATAGAATAAATAGCATTAAGTTAGAAAGTCTATTTAAAATAAGAGTCCCAGCCGTTGAATTTTCACAAACTTATTGATCGAACGTTTAGAGACAACGGCACTCTAATTTCTCGATTTAATTTAAAGATACTTTTATTATACAATAAATTAGTGATACTTTGTCCTCTCTTTATTTATGACCTTTTTAGTACTTTTGTTAAAGCATTTTTTTTAATAAGCGCTCTAGTCGTTCAATATAATAACGTATAGGGACGAGAGTATATAATGATGATACATAGGTCTTGCATAATAATTACAACAAGTAATTTCATCCTGAGCGTGGAGAAGAAAATTTTGCTCGAAAAATATAATGCCCAAATATGACAGTGATATCTTAAATATAAATAGTGTTAATTATAGTCGTAGGAACAATTCAGGATATTGAAATTACAAAAAGAAGGATAAATAACTCTCGGTAACTATCGTTTCTTTTAAGGTGAAGCAAATCAACATAACCGAGGAGAGTAAGCCTGTTAGTAAATAGAAAAATATTGTCAACGATTATAAAGGTTAGATTCTTCATTAACAGACTAACGTTTATTATTGTACAGCACAAGTAGTTTAAGTAAGTATTTGTAAACGTTCGTTGCCGTACGCGAGATAACGAGAAATGCATAAAACATGGCTTTTACAACTAACTTGAGTAACAATGTCAGGCAGCACTTTTCTCTGGTCATATGAAATTAACTTTAAATAAGTTTAATAGAAAAATGGGGAAAGGGGAATCTTTGGGTGATTATGATTAGTAAACTTAAGCTCTTGTATCTGAAATTTTCATTATTGAAATTACACTATTTAAGTATAATAATCCTTGTAACAACAAGTATCTCTCGATACTAAAATCACGCATAATTAGGTAGGAAAATTATTTATAAAATTTGTCAAAGAAATAATCCTCAGTGCTGACACTCCAGTGGCGCGGATTGTGATTGTGATAAATTTTAATATTAACCTGAATCAAAACTCAAGTATGAATAAAAAAAAAATAGCTATCAAAGTTGGGTCATAAAAAAATTAGATACAGACAATCTTAAAAAGAGATTAGTAAGCATTAAATATTAGGTTATCATTAATGAAAAAAAAAGTAAAAAAAAGAGAAAAAAGAAAAATTATTTGATAACTTAAAAGATAGAGGTAATAATGAAAAACAAGATTACATTATAATATTATATACCAATATGAAAAAGGTAATTATTAAACTATACGACTAGAATACTTAGTAAATGGAGAAACTATTTCAATCTACTATTATGTATTTATGAACACCAGCCTGAAATAGAATATGACATAAGGCACTTAACTAAACTCTGTCTAGAAAAACTTCGTTTCGTAAGATTTTATAATTATTAAAAAGTAAATTAAAAAGTAAACAAATAGAGAAGAAATAATAAGCTACTTAAATGAAAAGTAATATAGTTCGCCAGTAACTATTTACACTGCTCGTAATAGTAAAATTACTCACAAGAAATGATGGAATTAAAAGCATTTGAAATTCGACGTTTAAAAATAATAAAAAAAAACTGTAGTACATTATTTTAAGTTGGTGAAATTATATTTAATATTTAATAAAAAAATATATATATACATATATATATATATGTATATATATAACATTGTTAATGATTTATTTTTACAGATTATTTGAAACAATGAGCCGATGAGCAAACGTTTGCTTATGCCTACTTAGTAAAAAAACAAAAAAATTTTTTTTTTTTAATTTAAAAGTTTGTGAATTAGTAGATCAAGTATTTATATGCCTCAGAAAAGCATACAATTCTATTAAAAGAACTACAAACCGTACTAATTTATAAAATAAAAGAGAACATTAGGAAGAGATTATATAAATATTTTTCTCAAAGTGCATGTTTTCTCTCTATTAACCAACCATTAAAGTCCCAGTTATTTTAGCAAACTTGTAAATGAACATTTATAAAGCAATGATATAACCCAGAATCTGGTAAAACATATATGAAATACAACATCTTATCAAGTATGAAGAAAGGAAATGTAGTCGTTTTGAAAGATAAAATGGTTTGATTGGAGTCCTATGCAGAAACGAATAATAAGCGAGGAATTTGAGGATATATAGAATAATTACATAATCGAGGGTACAAAAGATTAATTTAATCGTAGGAATGAAAGCCAATCGGACTTTGTACGTAGTGTGGGCATTGAAAGGAAAAGAATTTTGCCTGACAAGTGTAAAAGACATTTAAGAAGCCCAACTAGAGTCAACCCAATTATAGAGTCATGAAAACCCATGCCTTTATTGTTCATAATAATATTATCCTACGTGTGGTTATATTAATGTTTATTTGTTTTTACATTCTTGCGCTTCAGACTTTGAAGTCTATTTCTATTTGTTATTAAACAATTTTAGTACCAAACGAGTATTTAGTTATTAACTTTTATTAACCTCCTTTGATCTACGTGCAATTGTTATTTTAAATAACTAAGCAAACAATAACGAGAGAATTATGGAAAATAAAGGAAATTCAACGCTAGATACGATGCTAATCGAATTTAATAATTCTTTACAAGAAAATCGTCGGGGCCGATAACTCTTGTCTCGCATCTTAAACACTACATA